CTAACACTAATGATATGGAACTATTCTAACCCACTGACAGCAATGATGGGGCACTATTCCTACCACTGACACCAATGTTATTGAACTATTCCTCTCACTGACACTAATGATATGGAACTATTCTTCCCACTGACAGCAATGATGGGGCACTATTCCTTTCCCTGATATTAACAATGGGGCACTATTCCTTTCCCTGATCCCAATGATGGGGCACTATTTTTTCCCCTACTAACAACAATGGATCACTATTCCTCTCGCTAATATCAATCATGAGGCATTGTTTATTCTACTCACACTGGCCGCAGTCCAGCCCCCGCAAAGTCTGAAGGACAGTAAACCAGCCCTTTGTTCAGAAAGTTTGGAGACCCCTACCCTTAAGGGATACTAAAGGATTATGAACACATAAAGGTGTAATAATACTGAGGTCACGTTACAAAATACTTGTCTGTTTTACTAAGCATCTTAATCCTACTGTTTTTTTTCAGGGCTGTAGTTGATTTACTGTACATTTGTCACACTTTTACAAAATGCACATTCATAGCAAGAAATACTGTAAACAAAGCTTACTAAAAAAGAAATACTGATGAGTCATTTTCCTCCTTTCTCTGTACATTTCATGCTGCTCTACAGGCTCTACCAGAAAATAAGATCTACCTACAAAAATAGTAATGATGTGAATGTACAATATATATGTAAAGCACTCTGTAAACTGATGGTGCTATACAAGCACCTGTAATAATAATAAAGTATTGCTTATCAAAATAGAAAAAATACTTTTAAAAGGTATTGCTTATAAAAATAAAAATTTACTTTTAAAAAGTTTATATTTTAAATTGCATTTTTAATTTACAAGTTACTTACAGTATATGTCCTTTTAAACAGGTGATTTGATACGTGTACTTTTTACAGTTGTTAGGGTTCATAAACACTTTTCGAATGGCCCTTTTCCACCCTCTAACTATTAACTCTTATTTGCTCCTTTTTGGTCTGCTAAAAATATAAATTAATAACACTTTGTTATATATTTTTGAAAGTTGCCAAAAACAGCTGTCCTTTGTGATTACAAAGGACAGCTGTTTTTGGCAATTTTCAAAATCAATAGATTTATCAGGGATGAAGTAGGCAGGGCTGACATCACACCCTTATCATTTCAAAACTCAAAAGAAACTGTGAAATAGGAGAACACTATATTTTGGATGAATCAACCGTTATTTTTCTGTACTTTTGGTAGAATTAGGATAAAACATAGGGAAAGGTTCATGTATCGCAGAGATGTACTTAACATGTTTTTATTTTTCCTTCTATATGCTTAAAAGAAGAGATATAGCCAAAGCAAATTTGGCTATACTTCTTCTATAGGTGCAGTTCATTGTGACCCGTTTTCAGCCCTGTAAACTGGGGCACCCTGGTATACGCAAAGCAACCAGCTTCTGTGGTTGCTGGTTCTAGGCCACCCACTTCTTGACTTTTGCATCCCACTATTGACCCATTACTTTAAAAGTAGCAGGATTCATATTCGTTATTGCCACACGTTTACTTTACCCAGATGGACAAATTCATTTAAAATGTCGTCTTTGGTAAAGACACTAAATTAAAGCTAATATAATTTTAGGCAAAGTGAAATTAAATTTAATAATAAACGCACAGAATGTATTTGGTGTTTAAGAGGTCAGTGTGTTCTCTTTGTATTTCCTGTTGGTAGTTTCTTCTGTTAACTAGGTATACTGGGCAGTTCAAAATGTATGGGTAAATACAATTAAAAAAACAAATCCTGAATACTATTTTGGAAGATTCAATACATATTTTTAACAAAAAAAATTGTAAGTAAAAGAACAACATGAACAAATGTACCGGTTGTCTTATCTGACTACATTTGTTCCTTGAACAGTAGTAGATATCTTATCATGTATGCTTAAAGTGGAACTCCAGTCCCCACAATCATTTTATTTAATAAAAGCTCCCCTGTGATTGTTAGTAAATGTACGTTACTATTTGGATACTGTCCTGTCTTCATGCTTGTTACTTTTAAATCTGTAGTATCTTACATGATTTTAGAAGCATGCAGGGGCCATCGAGGATGTGGGAATCTCAAACCCGCTCCTGTGTATTTCTAGGATTAAATGCAGCTGGCTACCCAGCATGCACCTCCCGATCTTGCACTTGTGCGATAATGACACTGCACAGCGCAGTTTGTTGATTACAGGTTACTCCTCCCAATCCCATCATTTCCGGTATTGAAATATTGGGAGATCTTATTATTAGGCTTCCTAAAGATGCCTGGGATAGATGATGCTGATACTCCAAGAGTCCATGGGAATCGCCTAATGATGTCTTTGCACAAGCAGAAGTGCTGCCCGGATATAATATATAAAGACTTTGCATGATCTGGAGACATTTTGCCAAGATGAATGGGCAACTACAGTTGCAAGAAAAGTATGTGAACCCCTTGTGATTACGTGGAGTTTTGCATGAATTGGGCATAAAATGTTCTCTGAACGTCATCTAAGTCACAACAATAGAAGAACACAGTCTGCTGAACATAATACTACACAAAACATTAGATGTTGCCATGGTTTAATTGCACATAACATGTAAACATTCACAGTGCAGGGAGGAAAAAGTATGTGAGGCCCTAGCTTAATGACTTCTCCCAGAGCAATTTGGAGCCAGGAGTGAGCCAACCTTGACTCCAATCAGTGTGATGATATTGGATGTGTTGCTGACAGCTGTCCTGCCCTTAAAAAACACACACCTGTTTTGGGTTTACTGGTTTCAAGAAGCACTGTCTGATGTGAACCATGCCTCGCAGAAAAGAGCTCTCAGAAGACCTACGATCAAGAATTGTTGACTTGCATGAAGCTGGAAAGGGTTACAAAAGTATCTCCAAAAGCCTTGATGTTCATGTGTCCACAGTAAGACAGACTGTCTACAAATGGAGAAAGTTTAGCACTGTTGCTACTCTCCCTAGGCGTGGTCGTCCTGTAAAAATGACTGCAAGAGCACAGCGCAGAATGCTGCATGAGGTAAAGAAGAATCCCAGAGTGTCAGCTAAAGACCTACAGAAATCTCTGGCACATGCTAACATTTTTGTTGACACATCTACAATAAGGAAAACATTAAACAAGAATGGAGTACATGGGAGGACACCACGGAGGAAGCCATTGCTGTCCAAAAAGAATATTGCAGCACGTTTGAGGTTTGCAAAAGAGCACCTAGATGTTCCACAGCATTACTGGCAAAATATACTGTGGACAGATGAAACCAAGATTGAGTTGTTTGGGAAGAACACACAACACTATGTGTGGAGAAAAAAAGGCACAGCACACCAACATCAAAACCTCATCCCCACTGTAAAACATGGTGGAGGGAGCATCATGGTTTGGGGCTGTTTTGCTGCCTCAGGGCCTGGACGAATTGTTGTCATTGATGGGAAAATGAATTCCAGAGTTTATCAAGACATTTTGCAGGAAAACGTACGACCATCTGTCCGCCAACTGAAGCTCAGCAGAGGATGGGTGATGCAACAGGACAATGACCCAAAGCATACAAGTAATTCAACAAAACAATGGCTGCAACAGCACAGAATACGCCTTCTGGAGTGGCCCAGTCAGAGTCCTGACCTCAACCCGATTGAAATGCTGTGGCATGACCTTAAGAGAGCGATTCACACCAGACATCCCAAGAATATTGCTACACTGAAACAGTTTTGTGAAGAGGAGTGGTCCAAAATTACTCCAGATCGTTGTGCAGGTCTGATCTGCAACTACAGGAAACGTTTGGTTGAGGTTATTGCTGCCAAAGGAGGGTCAACCAGTTATTAAGTCCAAAGGTTCACATTCTTTTTCCTCCCTGCACTGTGAATGTTTACATGTTATGTGCAATTAAACCATGGCAACATCTAATGTTTGTGTAGTATTATGTTCAGCAGACTGTGTTCTTCTATTGTTGTGACTTAGATGACGTTCAAAGTACATTTTATGCCCAATTCATGCAAAACTCCACGTAATCCCAAGGGGTTCACATACTTTTTCTTGCAACTGTATGTAAGCTCTTTCACTTCTTATACTACTCTATTATATTCTAAAACACTATATGAGCTTTCGTTTTATTGCTTAAACTTTTATAACATCATATATTATAGGTATACTCTTCCATCTCTTCCCCTGTATCCTTCATATAAGACTTCTACCTATTAGGTCTCTCTTTATATCATGATACTTTAAGGTCTAACAGTACATCTTCTTTTTTACTTCTTATACTTGCCTTCAGTTTCTTTGCTTTCATTCAAATAGACTGCAAGCTCCTCCACCATCTGTATTATCTCTCTCATGCTAAAACAGATTCCCTCTTTTTTTATGGAGTAGATCCTTTGCTTGTTGGACCAGTGAGATGTTGCTATCTATCTGCTTCCTTGCTAGCAAAAAAGAGTTTTCAGTGTTCTAGAGCCACTTCACGAGGGAAGCCATTTCATCACCTGGGTGATTATGCTAATGACAATGTGTCACAGAATTAGGTGTCTGACATGGCCCTTGTGCTGGGATAGATAACGCTCTGTGATCACATGACCAAGGGAGCCACAGCATGCACCCAGAACAGAGTAACCTACCTAGTTGTACAGGAATACCAAATTGAGCACTTGCACAATATACATCCTGTGAGTAACATGTACAACTTTTATTGAATAATAATTTAAATACTGTATTGTTGTATTGCATTATGTCAGCAATCCTGTATTTTATCAAGAGTTGTCCTTTTAAGCTAGATCAATTAAGAGTGTGGAAAGTTAATTTTGGAATAATATTTTCTTAACTTATCAATTGACCCCACATCTTCTCGGCTTTTCTCTTAATTTGAATGGTGGTCTTCAGATGGTCCACACTATTTTTCATTATTAATACTGTTGTACATTTTACAGGTTTTTGACATTTTAGAAACTGGACATGACTGTCCCACTATCAGATTCTATAGTACTTCCTTTTCTTTGAAGAGTGTTTAGCTTACTAATCATCTTTGACTTGAAGCATGTGATATGCATTAAAAACACGCATGGCATCATTTCGGAATTTTACCCCCACAAAAGCATACAGCAAGGGATTCAGGCAACAGTGAATATACCCTAACAACTCTGTAATTATAACTGCTAGGTGAAGTTGTTTGAAATTTACACAACCTTTGATTAGTTGTAGCTGATCCAAAGTATCCACAAATATGACAACATTGTATGGTGTCCAGCACAAAAAGAAGACACTGGTAATCACTATGGCCACTCTGACTGCCCTCTTTTTTTCTCGTCTTGGTGAATTGCACAAGGTGACTATAATGTGAAAATAGCAAAAGGTCATGAGGATCAGTGGAAATAAAAATCCTACCACATGGTTGAGGAATCTCTCAGCCTGCCAAAAACGATTTTCTTGAAAAGAGCTGTCGTGGTATCTACACCTGGTAACATTTCCATTTGTAAAGGTTCCCAATATGAATAGGTTTGGCAATGATAGAAGAAAGCAGAAGATCCAAACACAAAAGCAAGGGATATGTGCTGTCATAACATGATGCTTTCTGAAGGCATTGACAGCATGGATTATAGACATATAACGGTCAATGCTGATACATCCCAGGAGAAGGCTGCTGCAGTAGAAATTTACACGGCTGATAACTCTCACAATCTTGCAAAGGCAATCTCCAAATACCCAACCAGCTAAAACGTCCGTCACACCAAAGGGAAATGTAAAAAGCATCAGTAAATCTGCAATAGCCAAGTGCACAAGGAAATTATCTGTATTTGAGCGTACGCGACGATACCTCAATAGAATATAGAGGACAAGGCCATTTCCAATAACGCCAATGACAAATACAAGGCTATAAAGCAATGGAATGAAAATGCGCTGAAATTGCTGAGCTTCTTCGAGGTTTTCATTGATGGTATTAACACATACATAGTCAGAGCCCAGATTGGTGTCATCCTGTTTATAATGAAAAAAAAAAGAACAAGCATGAAACTCAGGACTGCAGCAACAGTATACAAGGCGGATATATGTAACACACATAGGTTGGCAGAAATGTCTGTATTTATGCTAAAATTGCTACATACATTCCATGAATTAACATATTAACATTATATAGCATAAACAAAAAGCATGCAGGGCTAAGTGACAGTATCTCTGCAAAGGGAATCCCCCAACCCCCATATACTTCCCTTATCTGAGGTCCCTCGCAGCTCCTTGCTCTGCTGCAGCTGACAAAAACTGTGATGACTCCCATTACCAAAATTGATAGGAAATCCAAACTAAAACAGTTGTCATCAGAACAGGATGTGAGAGAGAATTTCTCCTTGCTTTGAACGATTTTCTCTCACTTGTGTCTTGTGTCTCCAAGTCAGACATCTCCCCAGTGGAATACAGAGAGCGAAAAAAAAAACATTTCCTATAAAAACTAGCTAATGGTAAAACAAGTTTTGGCGTTAGAGACACTCTAAAGAGAATCTGTCACTTTGCCTATTTGAGTGCTTGGTTCACATGACAAGGGACACCCCATCCACTAATACTCAGGTTTGTTGCACTCTCCTATTGTTCTGTTCCTCTGTGGGGGCATGAAACATACTCTGTAGACTGGGGAATGGGACATGTGACTTCTGCCTCATTAATCCTCTGCAATCTCCAACAGGGCCTTAAAAAAGGTTTAGCGTCAGCACTCCCATGGAAGGAGTGGCAGGTAAGATAAGTATGATTGGGGAAAGGAGGCATGTGTCTTATCAAGGGAACCTGCCAGCCCTGAGTGGAATGGACAAAGTAACAGATCTGATTAACAACTTGCCTACTGGGTACTTATACCCCCTTCCTGCCCAATTTTCAGCTTTCAGCGCTGTCATACTTTGACTGACAGTTACTCAGTCATGCAACGCGCTACCCATATGACATTTTTGTCCTTTTTTCATACAAATAGAGCCTTCTTTTGGGGGGTATTTAATCAGCACTGTTTTTTTTTTCTTTTTGTGCTATAAATGAAAAAAGACCAAAAGGTTTGAAAACAACCCACATTTTTCTTTGTTTCTGTTGTAAAATTTAGCAAATAAGGAATTTTTCTTCCTAAATTTTGGCCAAAATTTATACTGTTACATTTATTTGGTAAAAATAACATAAATCTGTCTATATTATTTGGTCTGTGTGAAATTTATAGAGTCTATAAATAAGCTATGATACCACCTGATATACTGAGGGCCTATCTCATTTCCTGAGCCACTAGCAAGCCAGGACAGTACAAATACCCCCCCCCCCCACACACACACACACAAATGACCCCTTTTTGGAAAGTAGACAGTCCAAGGTATTTAGAAAGAGGCATAGTGATTTTTTTTGAAGTTGTGATTTTTTCCCCCCACAATTCTATTGAAAATTAAGATTTTTTTCCCCTAAAAACACATTCTGCTACTCTTCCTGAGTATGGGGAAACTCAGGTACACTGGTGAGCTCTGATGGGCACTGGTGGGTGACAGTTGCACTGCTGATGGCACTGATAGGTGCAGATGCACTTCTGATGGGTGACAAGTGCACTGATATGTGACAAGTGCACTGATGGGTGACAGGTACACTGGTGGGCACTGATGGGGGACAGGTACACTGATGGGTGACAGGTACACTGGGCGACAGGTGCACTGCTGATGGGCACTGATGGGTGACAGATGCACTGCTGATAGGCACTGATGGGCGAAAGGTGCACTGCTGATGGGCAACAGGTACACTGATGGGTGACAGGTGCACTGGTAGGCGACAGGTGCACTGATGGGTGACAGTTGCACTGCTGATGGCACTGATAGGTGCAGATGCACTTCTGATGGGTGACAAGTGCACTGATAGGTGACAAGTGCACTGATGGGTGACAGGTACACTGGTGGGCACTGATGGGGGACAGGTACACTGATGGGTGACAGGTACACTGGGCGACAGGTGCACTGCTGATGGGCACTGATGGGCAACAGGTGCACTGCTGATAGGCACTGATGGGTGAAAGGTGCACTGCTGATGGGCAACAGGTACACTGATGGGTGACAGGTGCACTGGTAGGCGACAGGTGCACTGATGGGCGACAGGTACACTGATGGGTGACAGGTACACTGTTGATAGGCACTGATGGGCAACAGGTGCTCTGATCGGTGACAGGTACACTGATGAGCGACAGGTACACTGTTGATAGGCACTGATGGGCGACAGGTGCACTGCTGATGGGTACTAATGGGCAACAGGTGCACTGATGGGTGACTAGTGCACTGATGGGTGACAGGTGCACTGATGGGCGACAGGTGCTCAGAAGGGCTCTGATGGGCACTGATGGGTGACAGATGCACTTCTGATGGGCAATGATGGGCGACAGGTGCACTGCTGATAGGCACTGATGGATGACAGGTGCACTGATAGGTAACAAGTGCACTGACAGGCAATAGGTGCTCTGATGGGTGACAGGTACACTGATGGGCACTGATGGGTGACAGGTACACTGATGGGCACTGATGGGCAACAGGTAAACTGATGAACACTAACGGGTGACAGTGTTCATCTGATGGTCGACAGGTACACTGTTGATAGGCACTGATGGGCGACAGGTGCACTGCTGATGGGTACTAATGGGCAACAGGTGCACTGATGGGCGACTAGTGCACTGATGGGTGACAGGTGCACTGATGGGCGACAGGTGCTCAGAAGGGCTCTGATGGACACTGATGGGTGACAGATGCACTTCTGATGGGCAATGATGGGCGACAGGTGCACTGTTGATAGGCACTGATGGGTGACAGGTGCACTAATAGGTAACAAGTGCACTGACAGGCAATAGGTGCTCTGATGGGTGACAGGTACACTGATGGGCACTGATGGGTGACAGGTACACTGATGGGCACTAATGGGCAACAGGTACACTGATGGGCACTAATGGGCGACAGGTACACTGATGGCGGGCACTGTGTTTATGCACTGTGGTGTGTACAGAACGGTAACTCACTGTTAGAAGATTCCTCTCCTCACACACAACATCTCTGTGTGAGGAGTGGAAGCTGGTAACAGCCAGTTACCGCTCTGTGTTTCCATGTGTGACCGGCCATGATTGGACACAGTCGATCACATGTTAAAGAGCAGTTGCCAATGGCTGTTTACCGTGATCGATGATGGGCTGTGTCCAAGAAACACAGTTCACCAGCGATCACCGCGGCTAGAGTGGGAGGACGTCATATGACATCCTCCCAGAATGAGAGAACTCCTGTCCATCCATCATTCTCTGCATTAAGGTAAAAAACATTCTGAGTACAGCCCTCCCCTTGTAGTTCCCTGAACCCGATCTTGATCCAGCGCTGGGAACAGTGGCTCTTTCCTTTCTCTCTCTCCCTACTCATAAGCCCAATGAAAGCAGTGGCTCCTGCTCTTGTCAATCACAGCCAGTGAGCAGGGATTTGGGCTGATGGACATGCAAAGTGTGGCTCAGGAGCGAGCCCACACAAGTGCTGCCATAGCAAGCAGCTTGCAATGGGGATACTCGGCAGGAAGGGGGGGGGGGGGGGGGGGCAGGACCGCTGGAGTGTTATCGATGCCTGTGACTACAAGGGAAATAATTGAATATATTTAAACTGGCAACATGTCACTGGAAAGCAAGTCTGATACAACAAAAGTCCTTGGTTTGAACCTAGAACTGCTTCTGATACCAACTAATCTATGGTACAAAAACAATGTAATTGCAATACAGTATGATGAAATTTTTCTTGGACATGAGATATTTTATGTTTCTATATGCTATATCTACATATAGTGATCCTGTGATTTGTGGTTTGCATTCACTGACAGTTCATTTATAAGGAAAAAGAGATCACTCCATACGCTCCATGTGCATTTGGTCATTTTTGATAAACATTATTTTGAATGAATATTATTATGTTACTATTTTCATGATGGATTTTGTTTTTTTAGCTTATTGTATCTCAGTGAGCTTTTTTTTATTAGCTTCAATGTTCACATAACAATTTTAGAAAGATAAGCCTGCACAACAACAGATTATTATTTGTAATTGTATGCATTGATTTGGGTATAGTTAATAGTTGTCTTCAAAACAAGCTAATAAATATTTGCTTTAAAATACATTTGTAGTAAAGATCCAGTAAATGTGCATTCGATTGCTTCATATAGTGCTGACATTACAAGTCATAATTTTGGTAAGCACTTCATATCTGCTTTTGTTTCAGGTAGAAATCTTAACCACTAATTTGCACATTGCAGCTGCAGAGTACGGTATTTTTCCATTCACCCACCCATATTGGAAGCATCTTGACACGTATTTACATAGTTACTGAAAATGAAAGTTCTGTCACTGCTTTTCATGCACTGATAAGCATTGCTCTGCTACTAAATTCAAATCAGCACAACCTCATTTAGGGTAGTTTAAAGGGCAATGTAGGTAAGTAAAAACTGATGACAGGGATAAGGGAAAGTGAATATCATATGTAAATACCACATCCAAGCTGCTTTTATGATGATTTACTGTTATTTGAAGATTTGTTTAGCAAATACATACACAATGGAAGAGATAAAGGGATATTTTAGGTGCCAAAAACATGATTCTAACAACCACATACAATTTAACAATTTTATTGTACGATAACATATAAAACCAAACACCAAGTATATGGTATTATTAAAAAATCAACATTTAGTTACACTGGAGATTACTGTGACTTTTATGTGAATTATTACAGCAGCTTTTGCTCAAAATGTTTCACCATAAACTGGCTTCTTCAGGAGTCTTATCAGTACTGCAATTGTTGTTACTATCAAACAAACCAAATACATATATCTGTACACCAAATTTGCTTGTTGATTATATTCATATAGAAAATATATGACATAAAAACTACAAAATGGGCTCCCCAGGGGGCTGCATACCAAAGGGCCTTGGGCAGATCCCACCATGAGCAGAGCAGTTATTTCAAACCATACATTGAGAATTCCAGGCTTACAAGGTGATGACATCTGTGGCCATAGAAGGGAGAGAGAAAACCGCAGCCCCTGATAAATGCCTAACAAAGTCATAAAATATATTCATAATACACAGTAAAGGGAAAGTATATCAATAGTATCCAAATCAAGTCACCAATCCAATGGCGTCAGTGCGCACGTGCTGCCAAAATCCCGGTGCATGACGTCATTGCACACAGTGTGATTGAACGCTGATGCTGTGCGCATGCGTGGAACACCAATGCCATCTTAGAAAATCCTCAGTGCCAGTCATTCAGATAAGAAGGAGTATTACTCCTCCCCTGATTACAAACCACACCAGGATCAACAAGAGAGGCCCATTGGATCTAGGCCACAAGATTGCAGCGACACAAATGCCACCAACAGCTATATCGGCGCCCCCCAGAACAAGGAAATTAACCCTACCCGTAGGGACGCCCCAGGCATCCGTATGACCATTAGCTGCCTTGGTGGCACCTAGCAACAAAAACCTGGTACTCACAACACCTAATAAATACTCCAAAGGTCTATCCACACATTTAATGCCCCAAATAAGGAAGGTCATTATACATCTTTGAATAGAGGGTGATCTGTCACTTATTGCCCTCAGTCTCCCCCCCCCCCCCCCTCGAGAAACTCATGTACAATGACTATATATACATTAATACAGATACTTCATTACAGAGTTGCAAACTATCATAAACCACATATTACAAAATGGCCAAATTCTCTTATGGCAAAGCCTCTAATAGAGAACCATATCCAAACAGCGTGAAAAATCATTAGAGAAAAGATTTAAAACTCAGAGTATCATTCAATCCTGAGGGTCTTGTGGCTGCTAAATTCTGAATCCATCGAGTTTCACGCTGCAGCAACAATTTATCTGCATCCCCACCTCTCTCATGTTGAGGTATATATTCTAAGGCAAAGAAGTGCATCTTAGTCAGATCAAAGGATGGTAAAGACCCATATGCCTGCTAATTGGAATTTCTAACTTCTTATTAGTAACTAGAGAGACATGGTCCCTAATTCTCTGATAGAAAGCTATTTTTGTTTTGCCAATATAGAAGGCCCCACAATCACAGACTATGATGTACACAATGCTGACTGATTTACAGTCCGCATGCAGCGTTGGTGTGCACTCACACTGTGTACGATGACATCATGCACAAGGATGGTGGCGACATGTGTGCACCAACGCCATTGGTGTCTGCGCCTTACCGGGTGACGCCAGCAAGGTGGGCGGGGAAGAGGTATTTAGGGCCCCTCCACCGCATGGAGTGTTTGTACAGCATTATGGATGAACCTGACAGACATTTTTGACAGCACCAGTGACTGAGTAATAGGATAGGATTATTGATTGACTGCAAACAAATTGGAGAAAGTATCCTTAATAGTATCTGAATTGGCCTTGTGTCTTTTTATATGTTGCCCTTCAGGGAGTGCGACACTTACCATCATTGACTCCAAGGCATCCCTTAGTGGGCAATATGTCCTTTATATAACGTGGTATAATTCAGTTGGTCCTTGATCTAGGTAAGGCAGTTAAAATCTAGGCATGTGTACTTTGTGACAGGTACTATGGATTTGGCAATTATTAATTTGGTCTTTTTCTTCTTTGCTCTTAAGGGGAAAATGTATCCCTGAACCTTTTGGGATACTGATTGGAAATATGTCTTCCTTTTGGGAATTTTCTCCATATATCTATATAAGTGAGGGATCCTTTACCAACTTTGTTCCTAGGCCCCAAAAAATGGGATTTTTGAATACATGTATACCCATTATGGGATGTTTACCAACTAACTAGCTGTATGCCATTTCCCATGAGGTAATAATGATTGGTGACTTGATTTGAATACTATTGATATACTTTCCCTTTACTGTGTATTATGAATATATTTTATAACTTTGTTAGGCATTTATCAGAGACTGCGGTTTTCTCTCTCCCTTCTATGGCCACAGATGTCACCACCTTGTAAGCCTGGAATTCTCCATGTATGGTTTGAAATAACTGCTCTGCTCATGGTGGGATCTGCCAAGGCCCTTTGGTATGAAGCCCCTTGGGGAGCTCGTTTTGTAGTTTGCATGTCGAATATTTTCTATATGAATATAATCAAAAAGTAAATTTGGTGTATTGTACTGATATATGTATTTGGTTTGTTTGATAGTAACAACAATTGCAGTACTGATACGCCTCCTGAAGAAGCCAGTTTATGGTGAAATATGTTGAGCAGAAGCTGCTGCAATAATTCACATAAAAGTCACAGTAATCTCTAGTGTAACTAAATGTTGTATATAATACCACATTCTTGGTGTTTGGTTTTATATGTTATCATACAATAAAATAGTTAAATTTTATGTGGTTGTTAGAGTTATGTTTTTTGGCACCTAAAAAAATCCCTTTATCTCTTCCATTGTGTATTTGTTCGTTGGGATTGGTGCCTTTGATTCCTGCCCATTGGACTAGTAGCATTTTGTTTAGCAAAGAACTATCAAAGGATTTATAGAAGAATTCTCATTATAGTATAGTTTTATAGTATTAAGGTAGTACTTCATGCTAATCCGTAGCTCGGGACAGGTCTTTAAAACAATCAGCAGGGTGTACTCACCCTCCTAGTGAACCTGTCCTAAGCTTTCTTATATAATGAATACATATTTGCAAGTTTTAAATTGATAAGATAGGCTGCCATTTTGCTATGTTGTTTTTTGGTGCAGAAATACACTAGAGGTTTTCAGCTGCCTTAAGCAGTGTTGGGCTTCTGATGTGTTGCTGTTCATTAAAGTAGAACTATAGGCAAAACGTCTTTTTCATTTTTTATAGAGTAAGGGAGGGTTATAACTCCTGACAGATTTTTTTTTTGCCATCTGTGTCCCGTTGCAGAGATTTCCCTTCACTTCCTGTGCCACAGTCAAACAGGAAGTGAGAGGAAATCTTTGGAAATTAACCACTTACCCTCCAGAGGATTTACCCCCTCCCCTTTTGACCAGGCCATATTTTGCAATACGGCTCTGCATTACTTTAACTGACAATTGCGTGGTCATGCAACACTGCACCCAAATGAAATTTATGTCCTTTTTTCACCACAAATAGAGTTTTCTTTCGGTGGTATTTGATCACCTGTGCTTTTTTTCTTTTTTGTGCTATAAGCAACAAAATACAACAATTTTGAAAAAAAAAAAGCAATATTTTTGACTTTTTGCTATTAAACATGTACAATAAAAAAAATTTCAGAATAAAATTTCATCATAAATTTAGGCCAAAATGTATTTTTTTTTATTATTATATATTTTATAAATTTTCTTTATAAAAAGAGACAATACAAATAACAATAATATCACATCAAAATGTATTCTACTATATGTCTTTGCTAAAAAAAATCCCAATACGTGAAAATTAATTGGTTTACGTGAAAGTTATAGAGTTTACAAATGGTGGTATAGATACGGGGGTTTAAAAAATGTTTTTCTACTAGTAATGGCGGCGATCAGCGACTTATAGCAGAACTGCGGCGGGCATTCTGACACTGGGGGGAACTGACTTGGTGTCACTGACATCCCCAGTAACATCAATACAGTAATCAATGCTAATAAAAAGCAATGACACTGTACTAATGGCACTGGGCAGGAAGGGGTTAACATGTGGGGCGATCAAAGGGTTAACTGTGTGCTGTTTTGCATACTGGGCTGTGTTTGTGCTTCACTGTAAGCACACTGTTTTGCATATAGCTGGACTGTGGGGGGAACTGACATCTCCAGTGACACCAATACAGTGATCAGTACGAATAAAAAGCACTGACACTGCACTAATCGCACAGGGCAGGATGGGGTTAACATGGGCGGCGATCAAAGGGCTAACTGTGTGCTGTTTTACTATGAGGCTGTGTGCTGTGTTTCACTGTAAGCACACGGCTTTATACAAAGCCGTGTGCAGGAACTGACAGGGGAGAGATCTGTATTGTGTACATACAGCTCTCTCCCCCATTGGAAATCCTCGGAGAACGGTGGGGAATCACTGGCTAGGACCTGGTGATGGACAGCCGAGGCCACGAATGGTGGCGCAGGTAGGGCGCGCAACCGAGCCCCCTACCCGAAACTACAATGCCACGTATATTTACATGATTTTGCATACCCATGCCGCCCTGTAGCAGTATTTCTGCTATAAGGTGGCGCAGAAGCGGTTAAGGGAATTCCTTGGGAACCCCAGGTCACCAGAACTAGTATCCCCATTGAAAGATTTCCCCTCTATTACTGCTCTGGAGACAACCCAAAATTTGGGATTTTCCTTTACTTTCACTTTCAATGATAATAGTAAACGGGACAAATAAAGAGGATGAATCTCCTTAACGGGAAGGGGGGGACAAAGACAACAATGAAAACTGACAGGGGTTCTATACCATCTGCACTCTATCCTGAACTAAATAAAAGTTTTGCCTTTAGTTATACTTTAAGTAGGAAGGGGCTACTTCCAGGGAAGCTTGTATATGCATTGCTACTTACAGTATGTTCTATAGCTGATAGTACAGATAGATAGAGGGTTAAGGCAGTGCTGGAAAATAGTGATAGCCACACAAAATATTGACACTGGACCCAATTTGGACATTGTCACTTAGGGGTGTACTCACTTTTGTTGCCAGTGGTTTACACATTAATGGTTATGTTGAGTTATTTTGAGGGGACAGCAAATTTGCACTGTTATACAAGCTGTACACTCACTACTTTACATTGTAGCAAAGTGTCATTTCTTCAGTGTTGTCACATGAAAAGATATAATAAAATGTTTACAAAAATGTGTACTCACTTCTGTGAGATACTGTATGTATGTGTATAAATATTGTGAGGGATTAGCTCAGCAGTGGGGTGTGCATGACTGCCTGAAAGAGTTTTACAGCAGTGGCGGAACTACCAGGGCGCAAAGATAGCACTTGCGACCAAGGCCCTGGAGTTAACCACTGTGGGAGGGCCCCAAGAGCCTGGACTGTGGTCCCCAGTGGTTGCAGGGCTCTGAGCTGAGAGAGTCTCACTCTTGCAGCCTAGAGCCAGCACTGACAATTCCCCCCTCCCATTCCCTGAACAGAAAGGAAGGGAGAGAGAAAACTGGTTCTTCTGTGTCTGCCCACTGCCCACACAACTCCCTGGCAGTGTTGTGCCCAAGAGTTTGAAGCCCAGCAGCCAGAAGAAGAAATGTGCCGACTACCAATGTCTGAGTATGCTCTCCATCCATCCACCGTGAGTGAGAGTCCCCCTCCCTCACTGCAGACCCTGATGTAAGGGGCACTCTGCAGACTCTGATTTAAGGGGCTCTGTGGACTCTGATGTAAAGGGCCTTTGCGGACTCTGATTTAAGGGGGATCTGCAGATTCTGATGTAAGGGCACTCTACGGACTCTGATGTAAAGGTGCTCTGTGGACTCTGATGTAAAGGGTACTCTGTGGACTATGATGTAAGGGGCTCTCTGGACTCTGATGTAAGGGGGCTCTTCAGATCTTGATGTAAGGGGGATCTGTGGACTCTTATGTGAAAGGCGCTCTGTGGACTCTGATGTAAGGGTGCTCTTTGGACTCTGATGTAAGGGGGATCTGAGGACTCTTATGTAAGGGAGGCTCTGCAGACTCTGATGTAAGGGTGCTTTATGGACTCAGATGTAAGGGGCGCTTTGCAGACTCTGATGTAAGGGGCACTCTGTAGACTCTGATGTAAGGGGCACTCTGCGGACTCTGATGTAACGGGCACTCTGCAGATTCTGATGTAATGGGCACTCTACAGACTCTGATTTAAGGGGCTCTGCAGATTCTGATGTTAGAGGGCTTTGTGGACTCTGATGTAAGGGGGATCTGCAGACTATGATGTAATGGGCGCTCTAAGGGACTCTGATGTAAGGCGGCTCTGCGGACTCTGATGTAAGGGCACTATGCAGACTCTGATGTAATGGCGCTCTGTAGACTCTGATGTAAGGGGCTTTGTGGACTCTGATGTAAGGGGGATCTGCAGACTCTGACGCAAGGGGCACTCTGTGGAATCTGATGTAAGGGTGCTCTTTGGACTCTGATGTAAAGGGGATCTGAGGACTCTTATGTAAGGGGGGCTCTGCGGACTCTGATGTAAGGGTGCTTTGTGGACTCAGATGTAAGGGACGCTTTGCAGACTCTGGTGTAAGGGGCACTCAGCGGACTCTGATGTAAAGTGCGCTCTGCAGATTCTGATGTAAAGGGCGTTCTGTGAACTCTGATGTAAGGCATGCCCTGTGGACTCTGATGTAAGAGAGGCTTTGCAGACTCTGATCTAAGGGGAGCTCTGCGGACTCGGATGTAAAGGGAGCTCTGCATACTCTAATATAAGAGGCACTCTGCGGACTCTGATGTAAGGGGCACTCTGTGGACTCTGATGTAAGGGGCACTCTGTGGACTCTGGTGTTAGGGGGCTTTGTGGACTCTGATGTAAGGGGGATCTGCGGACTCTGATGTAAGGGGCGCTCTACGGACTCTGATGTAAGGTGGCTCTTCAGACCTTGATGTAAGGGGGGGGATCTGTGGATTCTTGTGTAAGGGGTGCTCTGTGGACTTTGATGTAAGGGTGCTCTTTAGACTCTGATATAGGGGGATCTGAGGACTCTTATGTAAGGGGGGCTCTGCGGACTCTGATGTAAGGGTGCTTTGTGGACTCAGATGTAAGGGGCGCTTTTTGCAGACTCTGATGTAAGGGGCACTCTGTAGACTCTGATGTAAGGGGCACTCTGCACACTCTGATGTAAGGGGCACTCTACAGACTCTGATGTAAGGGGCACTCTGCGGACTCTGATGTAAGGGGCACTCTGCGGACTCTGATGTAAGGGGCACTCTGTGGACTCTGATGTAAGGGGGATCTGCAGACTCTGATGTAAAGAGAGGCTCTGCAGATTTTGATGTAAGAGAGGCTTTGTGGACTCTGATGTAAGGGGAGCTCTCTGGACTCTATTGTAAGGCGAGCTCTGTGGACTCTAATATAAGAGGCACTCTGTGGACTCTGATGTAAGGGGCACTCTGCAGACTCTGATGTAAGGGGCACTCTGCGAACTCTGATGTAAGGGGCACTCTGTGAACTCTGATGTAAGGGGCACTCTGTGAACTCTGATGTAAGGGGCACTCTGCGAACTCTGATGTAAGGGGCACTTTGCGGACCTTGATGTAAGGGGCTCTTTGCGGACTCTGATGTAAGGGGCTCTTTGCGGACTCTGATGTAAGGGGCACTCTGCGGACTCTGATGTAAGGGGCACTCTGTAGACTCTGATTTAAGGGGGTCTGCGGACTCTGATTTAAGGGGCTCTGCAGACTCTGAGGTTAGGGGGCTTTGTGGACTCTGATGTAAGGGGGATCTGCAGACTCTGATGTAGGGGGAGCTCTGCAGACTCTGATGTAAGGGCGCTTTGCAGACTCTGATGTAAGGTGGCTCTATGGACTCTGATGTAAGGGGGATCTGCAGACTCTGATGTAAAGAGAGGCTCTGCAGATTTTGATGTAAGAGAGGCTTTGTGGACTCTGATGTAAGGGGAGCTCTCTGGACTCTATTGTAAGGCGAGCTCTGTGGACTCTAATATAAGAGGCACTCTGTGGACTCTGATGTAAGGGGCACTCTGCAGACTCTGATGTAAGGGGCACTCTGCGAACTCTGATGTAAGGGGCACTCTGTGAACTCTGATGTAAGGGGCACTCTGTGAACTCTGATGTAAGGGGCACTCTGTGAACTCTGATGTAAGGGGCACTCTGTGAACTCTGATGTAAGGGGCACTCTGTGAACTCTGATGTAAGGGGCACTCTGCGAACTCTGATGTAAGGGGCACTTTGCGGACCTTGATGTAAGGGGCTCTTTGCGGACTCTGATGTAAGGGGCTCTTTGCGGACTCTGATGTAAGGGGCACTCTGCGGACTCTGATGTAAGGGGCACTCTGTAGACTCTGATTTAAGGGGGTCTCTGCGCGGACTCTGATTTAAGGGGCTCTGCAGACTCTGAGGTTAGGGGGCTTTGTGGACTCTGATGTAAGGGGGATCTGCAGACTCTGATGTAGGGGGAGCTCTGCAGACTCTGATGTAAGGGCGCTTTTGCAGACTCTGATGTAAGGTGGCTCTATGGACTCTGATGTAAGGGGGATCTGCAGACTCTGATGTAAAGAGAGGCTCTGCAGATTTTGATGTAAGAGAGGCTTTGTGGACTCTGATGTAAGGGGAGCTCTCTGGACTCTATTGTAAGGCGAGCTCTGTGGACTCTAATATAAGAGGCACTCTGTGGACTCTGATGTAAGGGGCACTCTGCAGACTCTGATGTAAGGGGCACTCTGCGAACTCTGATGTAAGGGGCACTCTGTGAACTCTGATGTAAGGGGCACTCTGTGAACTCTGATGTAAGGGGCACTCTGTGAACTCTGATGTAAGGGGCACTCTGTGAACTCTGATGTAAGGGGCACTTTGCGGACCTTGATGTAAGGGGCTCTTTGCGGACTCTGATGTAAGGGGCTCTTTGCGGACTCTGATGTAAGGGGCACTCTGCGGACTCTGATGTAAGGGGCACTCTGTAGACTCTGATTTAAGGGGGTTTGCGGACTCTGATTTAAGGGGCTCTGCAGACTCTGAGGTTAGGGGGCTTTGTGGACTCTGATGTAAGGGGGATCTGCAGACTCTGATGTAAGGGGAGCTCTGCAGACTCTGATGTAAGGGGCGCTTTTGCAGACTCTGATGTAAGGTGGCTCTATGGACTCTGATGTAAGGGGGATCTGCAGACTCTGATGTAAAGAGAGGCTCTGCAGATTTTGATGTAAGAGAGGCTTTGTGGACTCTGATGTAAGGGGAGCTCTCTGGACTCTATTGTAAGGCGAGCTCTGTGGACTCTAATATAAGAGGCACTCTGTGGACTCTGATGTAAGGGGCACTCTGCAGACTCTGATGTAAGGGGCACTCTGCGAACTCT